TAAGTCTCAGGAAAATAATAAATAATGATTTGAGTGTGGGTCAGAAGCAACTGCAGGAAACAACCTATTGGAAGCTATAATTAAATCTAAATTTCAAACCATGGTTAATCACTATATCACCACATTAGATGTGTGTCCTGATAAAGATGTGATCATTTTCATTTTTCAGATGACTGCTTGTTCTCTGGGAAAGAAATTTCTAAGAATAATGCATATCTACCTGAATGTTTCCACTGATTTATTTTTGCATTACTGATACGTCAGGAAACAATGATTTTTCTTTTGAAATGTTTTCTCAGTAAGGTGTGGTAAGAAAAAATCAAATTCATAGATGATCATAAAATGTAAAGTGGACATCTGGCTTCTGCCAGTATGTAGAAAAGTAGAAAAAAATGCTACTCTTATTCTTAAAACCCCAACAGCAAAAAATGAGAACTAATCTGTGAAGTCACAGCTTTTCTTGAATCCATCATAGAGCTGTGGTTGCAGGGCAACCGGCCAATTCAGCATCTAAGGAAAGTCAAGATCCTTCAAGGAGACACAGGCTTGGATATTCACTCACCTGGCAGAGGTGCCACATGTTATACAAGCTGGTAAGAATTCAGCTAAAATTTTTAACAGGTCGCTAAAGGCTGAGTGTGTGACAGCATGAGGGGATAGGACCCCTGGGAGCTTCAGGCACAAGGGAAAATCACACCTACCCACAGACTTTTCTCAGGGACTTTGCTGGTGCTCAAGAGAAAGACTGGGGCCAGGAGTAGGCTTCCCTTGTGGTGCCAGCCTTGGGAGGGAAGCAGCAGTCCCACAGGTCTCAGTCTGTTTGTGCTGCTATAACAAAATACCATAGACTGGGTGGCTTATAAACAACAGCAGATTATTTCTCACAGTTCTGGAGGCTAGAAAACCCAAGATCAAGGAATTGGCAAATTCAGGGTTTGGTGAGGGTCTATTTCCTGGTTCATAGGTGGTACCTTCTTGCTGTGTCCTCACATGGTGGAAGGGACAAGAGAGCACCCCGGGGACTCCTTTATAAGGGTGCTAATCCCATTCCTGAGGGCAGAGGTGACCTAATCACCACCCCAAGGCCCCACTTCCTAACACCATCGCCTTGGGGATTAAAATTTCAACATATGAATGTGGGGACTATATGCAATTTCAGACCACATTCTGTTTCCTTTTGAAGGAAACAGAATAAACCTTGCAAGAATGAATCCTGGGCCCAGATCTTTAGAGAAGCCCTACTACTTGGGGAAGGTCAGGAAACCATGCCCAGACCATTAGAGGCCTCCTCCTATGGGTTTGCTGGGACACATAAAACTACAAACTAAAAAGGGTAAATTTTACTGCATATAAATAATCCTTTACTAAAGAATAAAACAATTCTTTAAAAAATTAAAAAGAATTAGATGAACACTTGGCAAAATTTAAATGAGTTCTATAAATAGTATTATATCAATAATTTTCTGATGTTTATTATTGTACTGTGTTATATGAGAGAATGTGCTTGTTTGTAGCAAAAATACTGATGTATTAGGGGTAAATAGGTACCATATCTGAATTTTACTCTCATGTGTTTCAGAAAAATAACATGACACATACATATATATATATATACGTACACACAAAGTGTTTGATACAGCAAACGTGGTAATATTAACATTTAGAGAATCTGGGTAAAGGATATATAAAAATTCTTTGTATTATCTTTGCAACTTTTTTTGAAAGTCTGAAATTATTTCAAAATAAAAGTTAAACATTAATATATAAAATGAATGAATGAATGAATGTACCAAATGGTTGCAAAAAGATGTCAGCTATCACTGCTGCAGCGGTTAAAGCATATGAGTATACAGATACTTTGCCTACTCAAAGTTTGGGAGCCCAAAGGCTAAAAGAACATCAGAAGACCTAAAACAACCCAGCCATCCCATTACTGGGTATATACCCAAAGGATTATAAATCATGCTGCTATAAAGACACATGCACATGTATGTTTATTGCGGCACTATTCGCAATAGCAAAGACTTGGAACCAACCCAAATGTCCATCAGTGACAGACTGGATTAAGAAATGTGTCACATATACACCATGGAATACTATGCAGTCATAAAAAAAGGATGAGTTCATGTCCTTCGTAGGGACATGGATGCAGCTAGAAACCACCATTCTCAGCATATATCACAAGAACAGAAAACCGAACACCGCATGTTTTCACTCATAGGTGGGAATTGAACAATGAGAACACTTGGACACAGGAAGGGGAACATCACACACTGGGGCCTGTTGTGGGGTGGGGGGAGGGGGGAGGGATAGCATTAGGAGATATACCTAATGTAAATGACGAGTTAATGGGTGCAGCACACCAACATGGCACATGTATACACATGTAACAAACCTGCACGTTGTGCACATGTACCCTAGAACATAAAGTATAATAAAATAAATAAATAAATAAATAAACAAATAAATAAAATAATCATTAAAAAAGACCTAAAACAAAGCTACGGGTGTGGATTTCTTCCTATGCAGAAACAGCTTCTGCTCTTTGAATTCAGGAGGCTTCTACTGTTACCAGAAGCCTCTATGTTTCCCTAGGATTTATATTCATACCAATTTCAGTTCAATTTTTTTAAATTTCTGGGGTACATGTGCAGAACATGGTTTGTTACCTAGGTATGCATGTGTCATGGTGGTTAGCTGAATCCATCAACCCATCATCTACATTAGACATTTCTCCTAATGCTATCCCTCCCCTAGCCCCCTAGCCCCTGACAGGCCTTGGTGTGTGATGTTCCCCTCCCTGTGTCCATGTGTTCTTATTTTTCAACTCCCAGTTTTGAGTGAGAGCATGTGGTGTTCAGTTTCCTGTTCTTGTGTTAGTTTGCTAAGAATCATGGTTTCCAGGTTCATCCATGTCCCTGCAAAGGACAAGAACTCATCCTTTTTTACAGCTGTATAGTATTCCATGGTGTATATTGCCACATTTTCTTTATCCAGTCTATCATTAATGGGCATCTGATTGGCTCCAAGCCTTTGCTATTGTGAACAGTGCCGCAATAAACATGTGGGTGCATGTGTCTTTATAGAATGATTTATAATCCCTTGGGTATATACCCAGTAATGGGATTGCTAGGTCAAATGGTATTTCTGGTTCTAGATCCTTGAGGAATCACCACACTGTTTTCCACATGGTTGAATTAATTCACACTCCCACCAACAGTGCAAAAACATTCTTATTTCTCCACATCCTCTCCAGCATCTGTTGTTTTCTGACTTTTTAATGATCACCATTCTAACTGGTGTGAAATGGTATCTCATTGTGGTTTTGATTTGCATTTCTCTAATGACAGTGATGATGAGCTTTTTTCACGTGTTTGCTGACTGCATAAATGTCTTCTTTTGAGAAGGGTCTGTTCATATCCTTTGCCCACTTTTTGATGGGGTTGTTTTTTTCTTATAAATTTAAGTTCTTTGTAGATTCTTGATATTAGCCCCTTTGTCAGATGGATAGATCACAAAAATTTTCTCCCATTCTGTAGGTTGCCTCTTCACTCTGATGCTAGTTTCTTTTGCTGTGCAGAAGCACTTTAGTTTAATTAGATCCCATTTGTCAGTTTTGGCTTTTGCTGCCATTGCTTTTGGCGTTTTCATCATGAAGTCTTTGCCCATGCCTATGTCCTGAATGGTATTGCCTAGGTATTCTTCTTTTTTTTTTTATGGTTTTAGGTCTTACTTAAGTCTTTAATCCATCTTGAAATAATTTTTGTATAAAGCGTATGGAAAGGGTCCTGTTTCAGTTTTCTGCATATGGCTATCCAGTTTTCCCAACACCATTTATTAAATAGGAAATCCTTTCCTCATTGCTTGTTTTTGTCGGGTATGTCAAAGATAAGATGGTTGTGGATGTATAGTGTTATTTCTGAGGCTTCTTTCTGTTCCGTTCCATTGGTCAATATACCTGTTTTGGTACCACTACCATGCTGTTTGGGTTACTGTAGCCTCATACTATAGTTTGAAGTCAGGTAGCATAATCCCTCCAGCTTTGTTCTTTTTGCTTAAGATTGTCTTGGCTGTGTGGGCTCTTTTTTGATTCCATATGAAATTTAAAGTAGATTTTTCTAAATCTTTCAAGAAAGTCAATGGTAGCTTGATGGGGATCGCATTGAATCTATAAATTACTTTGGACAGTATGACCGTTTTCACAATATTAATTCTTTCTACCCATGAGCATGGAGTGCTTTTCCATTTGTTTGTGTCTTTTCTTATTTCCTTGACCAGTGGTTTGTAGTTCTCCTTGAAGAGTTCCTTCACATCCCTTGTAAGTTGGATTCCTAGGTATTTTATTCTCTTTGTAGCAATTGTGAATGGGAGTTCACTCATGATTTGGCTCTCTGTTTGCCTGTTATTGGTGTGTAAGAATGCTTGTGATTTTTGCACATTGATTTTATATCCTGAGACTTTGCTGAAGTTGCTTATCAGCTTAAGGAGCTTTGGGGCTGAGATGATGGGGTTTCCTAAATATACAATCATGTCATCTGCAGAGACAATTTGATTTCCTCTCTTCCTATTTGAATAACCTTTATTTCTTTCTCTTGCCTCATTGCCTCAGCCAGAACTTCCAACACTATGTTGAATAGGAGTGGTGAGAGATGGCATCCTTGTCTTGTGCCAAATTTCAACGGGAATGCTTCCAGTTTTTGCCCATTCAGTATAATACTGACTGTGGGTTTGTCATAAATAGCTTTTATTATTTTGAGATCTGTTCCATCGATACCTAGTTCATTGAGAGTTTTTAGCATGAAGGGATGCTGAATTTTGTCGAATGCCTTTTCTGCATCTATTGAGATAATCATGTGGTTTTTGTCATTGGTTCTGTTTAGGTGATGGATTATGTTGATTCACGTATGTTGAACTAGCCTTGCATCCCAGGGATGAAGCTGACTTGAT